TCAGCCAAGCGCTATCTATTTCTATAACAAAATTTGACAAGCCCAGATGAGAAGCACAAAGTGACTGAACCTTACAGAAAGCTGAAGAGAGTAATTCCAGATGACTGGGCAAAAAGAAAAGCTGAAGCACCTCCAAAAATACATATATATATATATGTACACACAGACAGACATGGGAGTATTGAGATGGTGAAAATGAAAATGCCATGTACAAAGGATTCCTGCACAAACACAACCGTGCCATAATAGTCCAGAGCAAGAGGGCAGAATCCTCACATATAATCCACAGTGCCCATGTGGGCATTGAGAAAGGCAAGAAAACAGCCTCAGGTATGTTATTTCAGTCAGACTGAGTGATGCCACAGAAGGTGAAGGGCTAAACTGAACTTCAGTGTAGAGTAAATGGCTGAACTGCAGTGAAGACTTGTCTTCAGCTCTGAAATGCACTGGTGTAAATACAACAGCACAAACAGCCCCACACCAGAATCACATCACATTCCTCTGGGTTTGGATCTCAGATTGGTGCATCTTTATTTCAGGGACGTTTTTTCTTTCAATGACAAAAGTTACCCTTGATTACAGACTCCTTTCCATAGAGTTGGGTCTAACACGCCGTGGACATTGATGGTGTCTTTTCATTGACCAAAATGGCTTTTCAAACAGCATTCTATGCATTTCTAATTGAGCTGCTGGATGATGCTGTAGCAGCAATGTCCCGACACTCCGTAAATCATATTTGTTTGGAATGGGATTCCTGATGGGTTAATAACTCATAAACAGGCCACAGTTGCTCTCATTTCTAGGTTGCACACAACTAAGCCTCCAGCAATGTATTATTTAGGGGCTCAGACATTCTGAAGCCCCAGACAAAAAAACACAAACCACATTTTCCTGGAATTTGGTAAATTTGTTGGCCCATAAAAACCAAGTGGAACCAAAGTACTTGTAAAAAGTTATAGAAGCACTTAGAGAAGTTATAAAATTACAAACTGGTTCTAACCAAAGCAGCAAACCGTTACCTTAAATGTACCCTTTCTTAGCCCATAGCCAGCAAAGACAAAGCTTTTTGTAAGGAACATCTTGGATACATCATTTTGCCCATGGCAAACTAAATGCAGGGAGGCTGTCCAGTCCCGTCAGTAGATCCTGTTTCTTGGCACAGACCTTGATCTCGGATCCGGCTCCAGAGCTGTTGAGCTGTCTCATGGAACCAACTATGCAAATAGTTAATTTTTTCAAGCTGACAACCAAACTTCAAAAACCCCTCACAACAATACTGGTGGCTTGGATCAACCCAAGAATAGGCTTTTACAGCAAAACAAAATTACCATTTCACACTCTTTGAAGGAAATTAGATTTGTTACAAAATGAAAGCACTTTGTTGCAAAATGTAGAAATGAAACATTTCAAGGGTGGGTGAAGGGAAAAAAAAAGAAGAATCCATTGAATCTGAGCTGAATTCACAAATAATTTTGGCTCCTCAACTTCACACAAAAAGCCTCTTGGCTGATTACTGCAATTCTTAATTAGGAATGAAGCCGCACTCACTGGATGAGGGCAAGCATATATATCACAGATGTTAACACCCCGAGGAGCACACACTGAGCGCTCTCTCTACTGACTTCCCCCCCTGCCCTGCTAAACTTAGCAATATATGAAAGTCTTTATCCTGGGAGGAAGCCAACCATAGCGCATGAGGCCGGCCTTTACCAGCAGAGACAATATCCAGCCTGGAAGGAGAGGTGCCATGCTGTGGTGCTCTAGGCCTCCTCCCAAACCTGCCCAGATGGGGCACTGGCTGCAGCACACTGCAGGTCTCCTTCCTTTCACAGGGCTGCACCTCCTTCCTGAGAGCACTGGAGTGTGGAGGAAACAGGGTTTCACCCAGCATATAGGTAGGATGTAACAGAAGACTGTTTTCCTCTAAGATTACTTACTTCTCTGGAGAAAAGTGAGTATGAGCGATGAGAAGAAAAGAAAACAGCTATGGGACTGACAAGCAGAAGAGTGAACAAGACAGTAATGACTTTAAAAACCAGATGCCAACACATCTTCTAGATCGAGCTTCTCTTTACGAAGTAGCTTAGATGCACACATGCTCAAGTCAGATAGTTCCACTAAGATGGAAACAAACACACAGAAAAGGCTTACTCAAGCAGGATGAAAAGGAAGTAAAATGCTATTCCCATTGAACACCTGGAAATCAGGACCAGAATAATATTGAGACTGTGACCTTAAGCACTTAAAAATGACTAGGACTCCTCAAATGCTTAAAGGGAATCGTATCCTGAACTGAGGTTTCAGACTGCAAGCTGCTCTGTCCAAGGAAGTGCTGGCTGGATTCCCTTGGTCTGGGCCACACTTGCACCACAGCACCACAAATGGAAGCTGGCAAATGGACAGAAGACTTTGCAGTGCCATGGTCATGAAGCTACCTGCCAGCACCGTATGATGCTATGTGAGATGGGATGCAGCCACAGCGTTGGCTGTCACCGGGAAA